GGAGATTGGCAGCAGGAAGTCGAAGCATTTGTCGCCGAAGACCTACAAGAAGCCTTAATCCTGGGAGTTCCGTGGCTGCAAGGTACCAACGTAAACTGCGATTTCGAAAGAAAGTGCGTCCATTTTGGCACAGTTACCCGCCATAGAATTTATTGGGTTCGACCGACGCCGTCAATCAACGCACCGGCCACACCTATCAAAGAACTGGTAACCAATAGTTTTCCTCCGGAATACCACGACCAGTTTCAAAAATTAGTCCAAGACTTTCAAGAGGTATTTAGGAAGCCTTCAACCCCGACCAAAACCGCCCAATACGTCATTCGGCTCTCGAAGAACGAACCTTTCTGTCTACAGCCGTACCGCTACTCTGAGGAAAAGAAAAGGTTGATCCAGAATCAAATTGAAGAAATGCTTACGGATAAAATAATCGAGCCGAGTCAGTCGACTTACAATTCTCCTGTGGTTATTGTTAATAAGAAGAGTGGCGATCTGAGGTTTTGTGTAGATTTCCGCTGTCTTAATAGTATCACCCATGACGAAGTTTCACCTCTACCGGCAATCCACGAGACCCTGAAGGCAATAGAAAAATCTAGCATATTTTCCACAATCGACTTGAAATCCGGTTACTGGCAAATTCCGATGCATCCCGAATCCCGGCATCTCACAGCATTTACCGCCCCGGACGGAGGGAAGTTCCAATTCCTAGTAATGCCATTCGGGCTAAAAGGAACTCCTGCCACTTTCCAACGAACTATGGGACAAGAGGTACTGACGGGATATCTCCGGAAATTCTGCTTAGTCTATCTGGACGATATCATTGTTTTGTCCAGTCATGGGAAGACCATATCCAGCATCTCCGCCGTGTGTTCGAGAGATTGCAACAACATAATCTCGCTTGCGCTCCTGAAAAATGTGTGTTTGGATCCAGAACGCTTACTTACTTGGGCCACTCCATACCAGCTGAAGGGAACTCGCCACTTCCTAGCCATCTGGGGAAAATCTACGAAGCACCAGTTCCAACGACACGTAAAGAATTGAAAAAGTTTTTAGGCCTCTGCAACTGGCTACGGGAGTATCTACCGCGTTTCGCAGAACTTTCAGCTCCTCTTACGGACCTACTTAGCCCAAGAAGAATGTGGAGTTGGAGTCAGGCATGTCAACAATCTTTCGAACACATTAAAAGCCTTATGCAGCAGCCACTTCGCCTACACCGACCGGATTTTAGTAAGACGTTCATCCTACAAACAGATGCCAGCAAACAAGGAGCCGCCGCCGTCTTTTATCAGGAAGGACCAGATGATACGACAACCGCACTATTACTTGGTTGCACAATATGAAGGACGCTCGAGCTAAATTAACCAGATGGGCTCTACTTTTAGAAGAATTCACTTTTACTCTCGAACACTGTCCTGGAGCCAGCCACCAACTACCTACCAGATGCATTATCCCGCTTGCCGGCTGAAGAACCTCTGCCTCCTGACAGCCACGATGTTTCTCGTCTACTCCCGCCTAGCAACCGTCCACCAGGAATAGTTCAGGTTCGCCTGGAAACGCTTCGTGACGAAATCCGAAGAGAACAAGGAACAGATCCGGCTACCATACAAATCCGTCAGCGATGTACGTTCTTGGAAGAAAATCCCGTAGGTCACACCCAAGATGGCACCGCCTTCCTCCAACGCTACCAAGTGCGGGACGATATCCTTTGGGAGAAGAAGGAAAATACTTGGCTGATGATAGTACCTACTTCTCTTCAACCACAGTTGATATACAAGTATCACGACGAAGCTGGACATCCTGACATCCAGGAAACAGTGCGACAAATCTCACAGTTTTATAAATGGACCAACCTGAAGTCGGATATTTCAAGTTATATCCGCCAATGTCGCATCTGTCAATGCAGTAAAAATCAGCGTGTTACTCAAGCTCCACTTCGACCCCGACAACCTCTTACACCTTGGGACACAATAGCGCTCGACCTGATGGGACCATATCCAAGAACATCCCGTGGAAGAAAATTCATCCTAGTCGTTACCGACCTGTTCTGCCGTTGGGTAGAAGCGTTTCCCATCAGTTCAGCAACAACCGCCGTCATCACCCGCCTACTGGAACAAGAAGTGATGCAACGTTTCGGCTACCCTCGTGCGATCCTCACGGACAATGGGTCCCAATTTACCAGTCGACAGTGGCAGGCTGCATGTATAAAGTGGAAGGCACACCATTGGACCACGGCTATCTACCATCCCCGCGCCAATCCCACCGAAAGACGCAAACAAGAAATCAAGACCGGTCTGCGCATATACCTACAGCAAGGCGAGCATCGTACCTGGGATACTCACCTGTCAAAAATCCTCTTCGACCAGCGCGGCCGGAGAAACGCAGCCACAGGCACCACACCCTATTATGCCCTTTTCGGACGATCCCTTTTAAAGCCAGGAGAGTGGAACAATAACCCCGACGACGTAGACCCCGTTACATACCAGGAAAGAGTGGAAAACATCCGCCGACATCAGTACCACTACTTACAACCACGCGTTACCGCAGAACCAAGGGAACCACAACGCTACGAACCTGGAAAACTGGTGTATTGTAAGGAGCATCCTCTGTCCAATAAAGAAAACCAGTTTCATGCCGGGTTCGCTTCACGATGGTCTGGCCCTTACCCGATCCAGGGCTACGCTGGGGGAAATACTTACTGGGTCGAGGAGGAAAACCGGCTAGTGAAAGTCCACCACGAACAACTTCGGCCAGTCCTGCATCCACCAGAATAAATTTCGTTCAAACCGGGGAGGAATTGTTGTGGATTGTACCTGCTAGCTAAGAAATTTATTCTTGGAACACGATAACTACAGGTTTTCCCGTGACCGGCTACCTGAACTACCCCGTGCTACAACCAAACTTACCTACAATAGCAACTTTTATCTTCTATTTTTAATTCCCTTATGTATTNTTTTCTGATCATTTGACAATGTATGTCACTCTATCCATTTTTACAAAAAAGCATTTTTTTTGGGTGGGTGGGGCACCTGAAGGTGGGCAGCTGAAGGAATTTTTCTAAAAAAATTATTATCTGAACATTTGACGTAAAACTTCTCCCGGGTCATTATAACAAGAAAACTTTTTTTTTTATGGGTGAGGAACCTGAAGGGGATGTACCAAATTTTTTTTTAATCGAAAGGTTTTTATTTGACTATTTGACGAAGTCACTCGGGGCCATTTTTACAAAAAAAAATTTGTGTGTGTGGATGGGGTACCTAAAGGGGATGTTTCAAAAAAATTGTTTTAACCGAAAGATTCTTTTCTGATCATTTGACAATGTATGTCACTATCCATTTTTACAAAAAAGCATTTTTGTTTGGATGGGTGGTGCAGCTGAAGGTAATGTTCCAAAAAAATTATTATCTGAACATTTGACGTGAAACTTCTCCCGGGTCATTATAACAAAAGAACTTTTTTTTTTATGGGTGAGGAACCTGAAGGGGATGTACCAAATTTTTTTTAATCGAAAGATTTTTATTTGACTATTTGACGAAGTCACTCGGGGCCATTTTTACAAAAAAAAAATTGTGTGGGTGAATGGGGTACCTAAAGGGGATGTTTCAAAAAAATTGTTTTAACCGAAAGATTCTTTTCTGATCATTTGACAATGTATGTCACTCTATCCATTTTTACAAAAAAGCATTTTTTTTGGGTGGGTGGGGCACCTGAAGGTAATGATCCAAAAAAATTTTAATTAAAAAATTATCTGACCATTTGACGTAAAACTTCTCCCGGGTCATTATAACAAAAAGACTTTTTTTCTTATGGGTGGGGAACCTGAAGGGGATGTATCAAAATTTTTTTTTAATCGAAAGGTTTTTATTTGACTATTTGACAGTGTCACTCGGGGTCACTTTTACAAAAAAAAATTTTGTTTGGGTGGATGGGGTATCTAAAGGGGATGTTTCAAAGAAATTGTTTTAACCGAAAGATTCTTTTCTGATCATTTGACAATGTATGTCACTCATTCTATTTTTACAAAAAAGCATTTTTTTGGGTGGGTGGGGCACCTGAAGGTAATGTTCCAAAAAAATTTTAATTGAAAAATTATTATCTGACCATTTGTCGAAAAACTCCTCTCGGGCCATTATAACAAAAAAAACATTTTTTTTAGTGTATGATAAAAAA